TATGTCCTAGCAATGTAACACTCTTCTTGGCTACCTGAGATTTTGTCTTATTGATGCGAAGTCCAAACTCGTCAGTCCGTCTTAAAACACCTTCCAAGTGTTCTAGATGCTCTGTCTCTGTCTGACTGTACACTACCAGGTCATCACCGTACACCTCTACGTTTTCTAAATTCTTCAGCAACAGCATCATCTACCGTTTAAATGTAAATGGCGCGCCTGCAAGACCAAATGGCATTCTCTTGAATTGGTATTGCTTCTTGCCCACAATAAATGCTGTTTTCTCTTTATCGCCTTCTTTTATAGGTAGCTGCCAGCAACCTGATCGCAGGTCTAAAACTGTGGGTACTTATTCATTCTGTAAACGATCCAGTGTTTCAGCTACCATCAGCATGGCACACGACTTCAGTTGCGTTATGATATTCAACTCCCGGAAATCAGTGCAGAATCTATATTTTCCATTGGACTTTCTTGCTAAACGTACTGGCGAACTGTATGGGTTATCAGCCTCTTCAATAATGCCTGGCGTCCAACTTCTTCTTCCAAGTGGCATGGTATTCGCCGCGTTATAAATGTTGTCATTGCTTGACTTGTCACTGGGATTTCATGCTGAACCTTGCCACAGTATCCGTAGGGGTTTCCATCTCCCGTGAACAATCTGTCGTATTTCTTAACCAACTTCATGATGTTTGGCGCCTGTGGGTGTGGTGCTTTTGATACCTCACCTCAATCTCTGCTACCTCGCTCATTTCATACTTGGTGAACGACCCGTACTTCGTCGCCACTATTCCTGTTCTCGTGTTAATAACTGCGCCCACTTCTCTCAAAAAATCAGCACCTAGAACTGTCCGTTGTAGACGCATGGTCACAATGAATGGAAATCTAATTTTCCGACTTCCGATCTCGACGACACAATCTGATAGGCCTGGGATTTCTAATGCATGCCTCCCAACCATGTGGACCGTTAGCACACGTGGTCTTGTGTTCTGAGACTGACTTATCTATCAGCGAGACTGCCGTCCCCGTATCTATTAGATACACGATCTCCCAATCATTTATTAGCATTCTAGCATACACAGCACCTCTATCTATGGCTCTTACAACATCTAGTCTAATCAGAAAAACAGAACATATTATATCATTTAAAAAATTTTCTTTTTCGTCTCTCCGGACAATTTCTTCGCCAGTGCCCCAGTTTCCCACATGAGAAGCATCTACTGCTTGTTGATATTCATTTGAAGTGAAGCCGCCTCCTCCCGAAGGTTATCTATTCGTTTTTCCGTTATTTACCTTTGGTGACTGTACCGCAGCTACTGTTGCACCCATCAGCTATCTGGCTACCTTCGCCAGCTCACTGATGTCCATGGGTTGGGCTGCGTTCCCTAGTCGCAGTTGCTGGGTAATGCCATTCGGGACACTTCCGGTGAACTGGGCAGCCAGCAACTGTGCTTGGGAGTCCTCATGAAAAGTGGGAAGTGCTCGTCGAAGTAGCTTTGTCAACTACACAGCCAATACCAGTGGATCTTCGTCTATTCCATGGTTCGTGCTCGGGAACTGCTGCATCGCCAGCTCCCTGTCCGCTGGGTTGTCAAACTCCCCCTCCAGTCATTCGACTATTTCCTCTCAAATCTCATTGCCATCTGCACGTTCCACGCCGTCATATGTTGCTCTCGCTCGACCCCTTAGTAACGTGCTAAGGGCCACGACCTTCGCTCTTGGATCCTGGACACCCACCAGCTCCTTCTATCTCTTGCTGCTGAAAAGTTATGAATGCTTTGTTTTGAATATATCTTACTGGACTGTCTTTCTAATCATTCTATTCTTATAGTGTTTTTCTTATTCACTTATCCACTTTCCATAGCTTTATGTCTTCATAATGTTGTTACATTATTTTGTGTGGCGTATTTCTTGTTGCCCTTGTTGCACTATATTTGTGCTCTAATAATAACAATAATAATAATTATCCACTACACCACCGAGCCACGATAGCCACTTCTTGTGTCCCGGCGGGAACAACATCACTCACTGGGAAGCAGGTACATCCAGCTGACGAGTCCCAAATAGGACGAAATGTGCATCCTGGATTCCACTGCTAGCCACTGCCCATCATTACTAAACATAGTTAAAAAACAGGCCATATCGAGGCATCCGCATAGGAGCCCATATGCCAACAGAGGCTGATCAATTCGGTCCTATCAACGACGGTGTAATACAAGCAATAACACTAAAATAATAATAATTTTTAAAAACTCACTAAGAAGCAGTATCACGCTAGCAAGATACTCGTATACATTTTTTAAATGCACTGGTGTTGTTGAATATTTTCTCCTTAGTAATTCATCTATTCCAGCAATGTTTACTTCTCATTGGAATTGATCAGATCATCAGATTGGTAAACAATCACTGGTTAATACGGAAATTTTATTTATAATTACTCGTATGCCCCATTACTGATGATAATCATTAGATTGCTAAACGAGATGATATTAGTTTCCTTCAATCGGTTAGTTGATGAGTATAGTGAACACTTAAAGACGATATTAATTTAAGACTCAAATATAAATTACTTCTCCTCTTGTCTACAATAAAGGCTTCTCAACTGCCTTCTTATTTGCCTTTCTTTTGTCTATCCTAAACTTGCACTTAGAGCAAGACACAAAATTAATGTAAATCACAAATTGATTGAAGCTTAAACTATAGCGCATGGTACCTGACTCAGTAAGTCAACGCCTAATTTTACAACCTTAGAGCATGGGGATTCAGGCTTTAACTTTCAGATATATCGTAAATGTCTCATCATCAAACTTAGCACTACTGACTAAGAGTACATTTCTTAACAGCTCACATCAGTACAAGAAGAATGAAGAAAGAGAAACTAAAAGGTCATGTAGCATAAAACGAAATAAAAAGAGGCTATTATAAACAGCTCATTACGATGTGACGATCAGAATGAAAATGAAGCGTGTATGTATCTGTAACCCTGCCATCTGATTTCGGTTACATTGTAGAACTCAGTCATAAAACCTGAGCCAACAGTAACAAGACTCCATGGCTTGATGCCACACTTCAGTCTTTCTGGCGCGTCGGAGTCAACAGTAAATCATAATGCATAAAGCCTATTTAAGCCACCTCATTAGATAGAGGTTTACAGTGTCATTGGATGGTTTAGCTCAGTAGTAACGTGGCTGACTGTAACACACTGACATGCTAGTGTTTTTATAAGTGATATTGCTAAGTTTCTCAAACTTTATGTGATTAAGTTGCAAACAATCGTAAACTTTTTAATAAGTCCTATGTTAGGTACTAAATCAATCACGAAACATAGTAGCATATTAGATCTATTAGGGTTTGTCTTGGAGCAAAACCTTCGAACGCACAGATTTTCCATTGTATCCTTGGTATGATATAGATATGTCATACATTCCTTTTCAAAGCCAATATATAAAGCAATTAGTCTATTGCTAAAGACAAAGCATCTGGTCTCCGATTTCATGCCATTATTATATGGCAGCATAGTAACAGGTCTATAAATAAACATTTCTTTCACTCTATTAACTTCTGAATTGCATGACCAACTACGCAAAGTTTCTTTACAAGAACCCTGATGATAGTTACCAACCACTTAATGCCATGTATAGTGTTATCGATGTTAAAAATGTAAGAAGGCTGGCTGAATTTCTTAAACATTTGAACTAATGCATGTACACCTGCAATATAATATAGAAAAGTTTTCTGACAATATTTACGACGCGATTTATTTCACAATCTAGTTGAACACATGGGTAAAAAGGCTGGTTGGCAAAAACACTTTAAAATAACATGAAGCTAATTTATTTCCAAAAGACAGTGTATTAATAATGATAATATCCGACACCTAACTGGAGCTCGAGAACAGTAAACTGGAGAAAACGATGCAGGTCTTAGATCTAGACAAGTATGCATCGATAGCACATTCACCCTCCAACGGGTCCTGGAACACAGATATACTTACCGGTGGCCATATTTATTGATCTGTAGGTGACACTTGACTCTGTAGACTGTGTGGTGTTTTGGCAGTGTCTAGCTGTGAAGATAGTACTGAGCAAGTACATAACGCTAATCAAAGTTCTCTACTCGAACTCCCGTGCAATGGATTATTGTGAGATATCATACGAACTGACGACAATTAGTGATGTCTGCCAGGGATGTCTACTATCACCGTTAGAGACCTGCTAATAGACTACACATGGACTGACCTATTCACAGGTCATCTGGTTGCTTAGGAGTACGCGTACGGCATTATCTTGGTAGCTGAAGACACTCACAAAATGCAGTATCTTCTGGTGGCCTTGAGAGACGAGACGAATGAACGAAACATATTTATCAACCTTGCCCACATTCGTGCAGTAGGTAACCGAATTTTATTGTTTCATTCATCTTCACTGTTTTCGACATTTACATTATTGTGGTGATTATGAGCATGGTGACTTGGATCGATAAACAGCAATGCTAGGTTCTATCCTATTTATGCCTTTTTTATAGCTCTTGATAATGAAGCATAATTACGACCATAATACGGTTTGTTGAGCAACCGCGGCATTGTGCTCCATAACTATGAAACTACCACCGAGTTGAAAGAATAGAAATACATTCAGCAACCTTGTGCACATTTGTCCAGCAGGCAACAATCTATATCTCTTGTGCGAGGAATGATGATACTACCCGGCTGCTCAATCCTTGGTAGGTGGAGCTGGGTTCGAATTAGTGACTCATCGGTTGATAACCAAGTGCCCATATTGATGAAACAGCCGCATTTTCACCGGATAAAAATGGCAAACTTAAGCAGCATATACTGTTGTGAAAAATTCCCCTTGAGGCAGGTTCAACGTAAAATGGAACCATACCAATGAAGTTTTAAATTTTCTGGGATGATAGTAAGGGTAATTAGATCATCAAACAATAGTAAAAACTGGACAATGTACAAAATAAGTGATAATTCGAGAATTCTAAGCAAAGTAACTTACGTATAATGGAATTTTTACTTTCCAGTTGTTTTACTTTGTTACGTGCTATAGATATCGAATATTTGGTTGCCTCTGTTCGCCTTTTGACTGAATCGATTGCCACGGATATTTGTTCAGCAGTTAAACCCTTTGTAATTACAAAAAGTAGCAGAAAATTCGCTTTTATAGGGCTCACACTTCATATAATTATAGAAACTGTCTAATCATATATCGACCAAATAGACAGGCCGTTTAAACTGATTTAATGGAACTACATACACTAATTCCTGCTGCTAGGTTGCGGGCCCGAACCCTGCCTGGCCTAACAGAGTAGCGTCGCTAACCCTCACACAATACATTTAGCTATCCGTTAGTACTTAACTACCAACAGTGCATGATGGTCACAGTAGTTTTCATCAAGAACTGACATCAATTACAGAAATGCTTAAAAACTAGGAGCACTATATCCTCTTAGTTTGGGACTCAGCAAGCAGCATTCACAAGTTCATATGGGATGGAACCTAAAACCGTCAGGCATTGCCGCTGCCACGTTGCCAATTACCTAGTGTCGAAATAAAATGACTGAAGTTTAGCAACTCATGTCAAGTCGTGAGACAGCAACCATCTAATAACACAGGTGACTATCTGTCCTCACAAGCCATCTGCTTGGTCCTACAGGACATAAATTTTAAAAAGGAATTCATGATGCAACTCATGAGTGAACATGAAAACCGTTATCTAATTTTGAGGTTTATGGAGAAATGAATGGACATGCGGTTAGAGAGGTACACCACTGATGGCTCCCAAACTGAGACGAAACGGCTTTCTAGCGTTCTCAGGTCTTCGATAATTTTAAGGCTAGTGTAAATCCATGATGAAAACTCTTTTGGAATCAATCAATTTTCCCCATAATGAATGACTAAAATGGAGAACTATCACACGAATCTATAGCCTAAAATTTTCGGAAGCTGTGACCTAAACAGTTCAGAAAAATAATGCTGTGATAACCTACACATGCTGGGTTTACATTTAGTAATTTCATAATCGTTAGTACATTTAAATTATTATAGAAATATCTTAAAAAACAACAATATTAATGATTAAAGTGGAAATGTGAGTAAGCCTCGTACGTGTTTATAGAACAGACTCAGAAAAACTTGTCGTACGGCTTGCGGTAGTACCCGGTCACCTAGGTTAATGTACGTGGATTACGATTCAAACCTAGGAACAACTGCTCGAAAGTAGACTTATCAAGCGAATAAGTTCCATTTGTAAATGGTAACGAACTAACATGGATTTCACTCTGTAGCATGTGTAAGATTACTATTCCAGTTTATCACAAAATAATCAGCTTAATATGTCAAAAAGTTACCTGATGTGTTAGGTCATAGGAATATTAAATTCGGAATTAGTCACTCCTGCAAAATAAAAAAAATTACCTGACTGATCAAATTATGAAGGGAGGACCTCAAAACATGGCAAGACTTTGCATGTACTTGATACGTTTCAGTTGAACTTTTATGGCCTCCTTGTTAACTAAGAACCTGTGGTGTAAGTTAGTACTGAACAATATCCAATTACTTCTGAAGTGAAGAGAAGTCATAAGACAGTTTGATGACAGGGCGTGAGTTTCCCTTAGACCACTGCAAATCAAAAGTTAATTAGATCGCGATACTACCATCTGAGCATTTATTACATCCGGGTGAAGTACTTGCGAGGGGCCCATATGTGACTACCCATTTGGAAAAACACCTGGTCTTTTAAACACGGCACGCACATGCTCTCACGCATCTAAAGGGTCATATGGTAATAAGTGCAACTTACTTCTGAATCTGTAAGAACAAGACCCGAAAAATGTACTAGCATCTCGAACAAAAGTGAGTTACTCTCCTTGTATACAAGAAAGAAGGTAAAAAGCACGACTGAAATGTAAGCCGGTAATTGAATTCAAACCCTTAGATGCTCTGTACTGCTTCGGAAGACTGTTCATTTCAACAGGTTCCCACTCAGGATTCTGCATGATGTATAGATTTGAATAAAAGTCAATGTGAAAACGAAAATACTTCAATGTTGGTAGCAACTTCACTGACATAGTAGTCTGAAATGATGTTCGAATGTTAAACGCTCGCTTACATCCAATATCATCACTATCCACAGAACTTAAGGCAAATGTGATACCCACAGCGGATCCGTATTCATGACAAAACACATCAAAGTTCCTACCATATACAGCCCGGAGATGTCTTAGGCGTAACTAATAAATTATATATATATACATTGGGAACCTACGATAATAGGAGACATTACGAAGTTTCTCAATGGAATTTATGACTAATCGTTAGGTAACCAAACAAAGTAACGTCTACACCTGTATTGCCGCTATTCCAAATATACAGGATGCTGCAATATCCAATGTCCAATACCTTTTTATGAGCTGGTGAACACCAGCTGATTTCTTTGAGCTCGCTTATAGGTCTTGCAGAACGGTTACAGGTCTTTGGTGGATTACGATGCAGTAGGTCTACCCACTCGACTGCTGTAGCTCTGGTTTGCCCGACGGGCGGTTGGGTGTTGGTTAAATTTGTAGGGAGTGTTGTTTCTTTTGTTTTTTCTTGCAACGACTGTGGTGCATATGGGTTGCTCAAGTGTCGTGCCAGTAGACAATTGGTCAGACTGGTTGTAAAAAGGGGATGAAAAATGTGTGCAGAGAAATCAAGGGAGAGAAAGTGCAGGGGAAAACAAACAGATAAAGAAAAGAAAAAGACGATTAGGAAAAAGGAAAGGGCACGGAAGATGAAGCATTGATGGGCTTATGGGGAAGAGGTGATAAGGAGAGCTTTTGGCAAAGTTCGAGAACGTAAAGTCAGGAGGAAGAAGAGTAAACAACATGATAGAACGAATGGGAATATGGTAATTCTTATAGTAGGAGACGGTAACTGGAGGGGACGTCTATGGGAAGGCATAACGTTGAGCCAAGTTCCCAGTGATAGTGGCTTTGCAAAGAGTTTAGTAACGGTTGACCACACAAAGTTAGTAGGTTGTGTCAGCCTAGTCCAAATCCCAGTTGGATGAGCGCAAACCGTGCGTCACTGAGTAACTGACCAACTTCTTCTTGAAGCTGTCAACAGACGGAGCAGTAGCAATCTTGGCAGGCAATGCGTTCCAGTGACCGCAAACTCACAGAAAGAGGAAGTGTGATCCCTCACTGGTCTTCGCTCTTTGGTGGACGATTCTCCTTGGGTTACCACGAGGATCGCCATAGTGGCCGTTCGGTAGGATTCCGGCTATCGGATGCCTTGGGTTACTTAGTATTTTGTAAGCCGTTATCAAGTCACCACGTAATCTACAGTTGCTTAGGGAGTCCTGGATTTTTCAACCTGTCCTGATATGGTTTTCGCCTCATTCCTACGACAACCTTTGTAGCTCGCCTTTGGACTTTCTGTAGGAGGTTCACGTCTCTTTTCAGATATAGTGATGCAATGACGTTCTGGACCTCTGGGTGGGGTTGTATATAGGTCTTATATAGGCCAGGGCACTCAGTTGTCTGTGCATGAAGTCCAGTACTCCGTAGGCTTCGGAGGAGTCTCCTGGATAGTTGTAGCCAGTGCCTAGTTTGCCAGTCAGTACTAGTCCTAAGCCTTTCTCCGTGGTGGTGTGGGAAAGTTGTGTTCCACAGAGAGAAAAGGGTACCTTCTGGGAGTCTGGGGTGAGGAGAAACACTGCCCGACACCTATCCAGATTAAATGCTAGTCAATTAATATCCACCCACTCTACAAGTAATCAAAGGTCACTTTGCAGTGCACTTGAATCTGTTCCCGACGTCACAGCTCGCCACAACTGAACATCGTAAGCGTGGAGTAGAATTGGGGAGCTGAGATTCAGTGGAAGGCCGTTCACAAAAAGAAGGAATAGCAGCTGACCCAGAATTGCACCTTGTGACACACCCGATGATGATGTCCTCCAAGTCGAGTAAACTCTGTTACCTTTTTTCGCAGAGTTTTTCCATCATCTAAATAGTCTTGTAACCAGGACAGCACCATCACCATCATTATCAGCATAGGACCAGGCATTACTGCGTAACGGTCCGAGTTGCCACACCTCACATCAGTTCATCAAGTAGAAAGGCAGTGAGGTGAAGGATGAAGATACGTGAATGCAGTCAAAAGAAATATAAAGTACGAGAAGAAAGAAAAGAGGAGTGACAAAATAGTGAGATTCGGTATAGTTTCGTTAAGATGAGGATAATGTGTGTGTAGCGGCCAGAATCCAATAATCTTGGCCTGAACGCAGGAAATAGCTAGGCGGTGCCAACTGACGTGAATCTGACTAGTTCCTGCGTTCTACTGTATAGCTTCCTAACTTCCGCGAGTGACGCACAGTCAAAGGTTGGATCGAAATATCAATAGTAGATTCGCAACAAAATCTGTGGTACTACCAAAGCAACAATAAGTTATGTCAAATTACAAAAATACCTCAACAGTGCCGTTGGGTAACTATACAGTCCGAAACGTTCTCGGGTACAAATACGTACTACACGGTAAAAACTGGTTAAAAAATACAACTGTTAAATACCTGTCGGTCAATAGGAATATTCCCGGCTAAAGGGATCAAAACTCTGCCTACAGGAATCAAATCAACAAACAAACGTTCCCAGTAGACAGTCAAAAGACAAACAGTCAAATCACTGTACAACCGTAAGTTTGAACCAAAAGAAATGTCGTGCGCAGTAAAACAACATCACCTTATCAACAGTCCAGCGTCACATAATAGGAAAGTGAAACACTCATAATAAGTCTCAAACATACAAAGGCGAATACCGAGTGTAAAGTCAAATAAGACAGTTAAACAAGCAAATAACATTACACCGGCGAGGGTCAAAGGTACACCATCCATAACGGGGGTAAAAATGTTAAAATAAATGTCAATACAATCAAATAAGGGTGATCGGGAGGGATTTTCAGATCATTTTTCCTTTACAGTGTGTATACATCTGCGCCACTGACATCGGTTCTGAGCCACATTCCCTAGAGTTTCCAACCACCTAGTCTGCATCGTCCTACATGGCTTAAACCAACAGTCAGAGACTTCATACATTGGTGCCATGTTTTAGTCTGGCCACCTCGGGCCTTTTTCCAGCCTGAACCCACCTCAGCCAACATTGTGTGACGAGGCAATCGGTGACTAGGCATACGTAGTACGTGTCCCAACCATCTCAGTCGATGAAGGTTCACAACCTCGTCGACTGACTTACCTCTTCTCCCTAAAACTCTACACCTAACTTCTGCATTACTCACATGGTGACACCACGGAATACGTCCTATACTACGAAGGCAACGGTGGTCAAACACCTGTAACCTTTTCATGTCTTCCACTTTCAATGGCCATGTTTCACAGCCATACAGTAGAACAGAGCGGACTGCTGTGCAGTACACGCGACCCTTAATAGACAAACGAATATCACGGCGGCGCCATAGGTGGCGCAAATTGGCAAAAGCCAATCGAGCCTTTTGTATCCGTGCAGAAATCTCATCGGCAACTAACCCACCGGGTTGATCCTACTTCCCAGGTAAGTGAAGTGGTCAACACACTCAACCACTTCACTCTCTATTGTTAACCGCGGTACCGCTGAAGACCAGTCCTGGAGCAAAAATTTGCATTTGGGTGGTGAAAATCGCATCCCAAACATTCTCAAATTCCCACTCAAAGTGTTCAGAAGACTCTGCATCTTGTCAGCGTCTTCACCTAACAGGACTATGTCATCTGCATATTCTAGATCTAAGGAAAATTCACCTGTGATCGGTCAACGTCTTTGTAATTAGGTGACGAGAGGGAAACCTCCATAAGAATATCTATGATAAAATTAAATAAGAATGGGGATAGTGGGCATCCTTGACGGACACCACTTGATGAGTATAGCTCCCTGGACAACTCACCATAGGCTCTAACATGCCCACAAGTGTTCGAGTAGAGAGCTTTCAATAAGGTGATGTACTTACTAGGCACGCCTTTCAGTGACAGACACTGCCATAAGACTTCTCGATCAACGGAGTCAAATGCCGCCTTCAGGTCGAGAAATACAGCTATTGTCGGGCGTCTGTAAGCATGCCTATGTTCCAGGACCTGGCGCAGTGTGAATATTTGGTCGATACATCCACGGCCAGGTCTAAAGCCTGCCTGGTTTTCTCGGGCTTGCTGTTCCCGAGCTCCACTCAGGCGTCGGAGAATTATAGAACTTAGGATCTTAGACACTATGTTTGTCAGGCTGATTCCTCTGTGGTTATCACAAGAGGACTTCTCGCCTTTCTTGAAGACTGGGATGATCAGTGACTTAGACCAGTCGGAGGGGATCGTATTTGATTCCCATATACTGGCTAACACTTCCGTTAGCCTGACTAAGAGAACTCTACCACCATTCTTGTATACCTCAGCAGGTAGTCCGTCTGGTCCTGCTGCCCTTCCCCGTTTCAGGCTACCTACCGCTTTCTCAACTTCTTCTAGTGTTGGGGGACCTGTCTCTATGTCCCATTCAGGGTCCGACTGGATAGCGGGCAGCGCAATGGTGGCTGGAGGCCAGTTAAACTGTTCCTCAAAGTGTTCTGCCCATCGTCCCAGTCGCCTTCCCTGCGAGTGAATCGCCGATCCGTCCTTCTCCGCTATAACCTCACTAACTGTTGTTGACCATTTCCCCCCAGTCTCCTTAATAAGTCTAAATAACTGTCTACTGTTACCGATCGCCGCTGCCTTTTCCATCTCTTTAGCCTTTGCTGCCCACCACTGTTCACGATCGTTGCGCAGACTTTTCGTCAGTTTATTTTTAAGTTGCGCTCGCTCTTCATTGTACTCAGAGCCTGCAGGGATGCATTCACGTGCATCCATTAGTTTGGAAGAAGCTGCTGATATCCACTGGCTCTTTTTAGCCATTATCTTGGAGTCGGCTACAGTCTCCAGTGCTGCTTTTACAGTAGACTGAAGATGGCACCAAGCTTCTTCTGGATGAGTGACAGTCTTTTGTTCCGATAACTGCCTAGCCAACTTCTCACTGAACACGGCTTTGGTGTTTTCGTTGTCCAGCAGAACTCGTAGTGGTTTTGTTGCCAAATTTTTTCTACGTCCATTGAGACGCAGGCATATACGTGCTCGGACCAACGCATGATCGCTGTCCAAACACGTACTCCAGAAGGAGCGGCAGTCTTCCACCGATCCTCTCCAGCGATGACTAATAGCAATGTGGTCTATCTGTGTCCATCGCTGAGTCGAGCTCGGTGGACGCCAGGTCAGACAGTGCCTTTCTTTATGTCTGAAAT